TGTTTTCTTCACGTATTACAGCTTTTCTTTTTTTTTTTGCAGAACCAGGGATTGAACTCAGGTCCTTGCGCTTGCCAGGGAAACGCTTATTCCACTGAACCATTTCTCCAGCCCCTATTACAGCTTTTCTGTCCCTTATTTGCTACAACAATGTCTTGTGGTTAGCTGATTTTTAAAAGTCAAATGTTTAAATTACTTTCATATTTCCTTTGTATAGTTTATAGCCATTTTTTTTGTTACCGTAGAGATTACATTTAACAACCTCCCCCAAAGAACTGCGTTCTTTTTTTTTGTTTTTGGCAGAACCGGGGATTAAACTCAGGCCCTTGCGCTTGCCAGGGAAGCGCTTATTCCACTGAGCCATCTCCCCAGTCCAGGAACTATGTTCTTATACATGGTGTAACTCAAAATACAAACTAGTAATTCTTTCAAATGCCCTAATCTCTGTGGGGAAATACGGAGTTGCAAGTCAGCTATTGTTTAATAATATTTATAGTATTAGAGTCAAATAACATAGGAAACAAACGAGGTTATAAACTTGTTACAGTACTAGGTTTTGTAATTGTCCATGTATTTACCTTTATTTCCTCATCTTCAAGTTACTATAGTTATCCTTTCATTTCACCCTCTAGGATTCCCTGGAGTTTTCTTCTGGTGCAGGCAAGTTCAATGGTAATGACTTCCTCAGTTTTTGCTTATCTGTGATGGCCTAATTTCTTTCCTTACCTTTGAAGGTCAGTTTTGCAGGATATGATTCTTACTTTTAAAGTTTGAATATAAGGGCTCAGCCACGACTGGTCTCCAAAATTTCTGATGAGAAATCTGGTGATAATCAAATTGTTTCTCTGTACCTGCTTTTGAGATTATCATTCTGATCTAATTATAATGCATCTCTGCTAGGAGTCTTTAATTCATCCTGCTTGGAGTCTCTGGGCTTTTTGGACATTTACATTAATGACTTTAATCAAATTTAGGAAGTTTTTTGTCTCTTTAGACTAGCTGAATGTGGTGGCATACACCTGTAATTTTGCACTTGGAAGGCTGAGGTCAGCCTGAACTACATACTGAAACAAACAAAAAGTGTCCTTTACTCCTTTTTGGTGGTATCTTACATGCCTTATAGCTGTGCTCATTTTTCTTCAATCTTGGCTTTTCTTTCCAAGGCTCATAATTTCCAGTGTTTTGTCTTCAACTCCAGGCTTTCTCCTACCTGCTGAGAATTGCCTTTGAATCCTTCTAGTGAATTTTAAAATTTCAGTCACTATATTTCTCAGCTCTAAAACATTTAGGCTTTTTCCTTTATTGACTTTGAGCATCTTTACGATAGTTGTTTTACTGTGGCTTTAGAGATGGTGTATGATTTCATCCTGCTACTCAGAACAACTTGCAGTTTAGAACTAGGTGCTTCCTACAACCTTTCTTCCCCCAATCCTCTTTTATTTTGATTTTTGAGCACTCGGGAAATTAATCACCATGGAAAGGATACCATTTAGATGGACATATTCAAAGCCAAAAGAATGGAAATCGGGGAAAAAAATGTAGATCGAAGCAAGAAAAATTAACAAAGATAAAAACTAAGAGTTAAAATGGATCCACTTTCAAGCCCTAGTAATAAGCCATAAGCAGTAAGAATTTATGCCACCATCAAAAAACTTTTTCAAATTTAGAAGCCTTGCATTTATTGTAACCACTCTCCCAAAAGTAATTGCTTTTCAAAGACCTGAAATCAATTTAAATTGGCTCCTCAAGAAAAGAATTAGGAGGGCTGGCCAGATAGCTCAGTTGACTAAAGCACCTGATTAGGCAGGACAGGGACAGAGTTCGATCCCTGGTGCACCATGCTGGCCCCATCCCTAGGGTTCACTGAGTCGGCAATTGAGACTGGGTATGGTGGTACACACCTGTAATCCCAGTGCTTGAGAGGCTGAAAACAGCAGGATCACTACGAGTCTGATCTGTGTAGTGAGACCCTATAGACCCTGTTCTAAACACATTAAAAAAAAAAAAAGTATTAGGAGACCAGGCATGGTGGTGCAAGCCTGTAATCTTAGTGCTGGGAAGGCTGAAACAGGAAGAACACTACAAGTATGAACTGCATAATGAGACCCTGTATCCAATAAATATATAAATGAATGAATAAAAAAGGGTTAGGATGATGAACCACATGAAGTTGCCATTTTATAGATCAAAAGCTGTTATGTCCCAATGCTGTCATGCGGTCTTACTGAGATGCTGTGACTGAAGAACACCAGCATCTGAGCTACTGATCTATTCCAGAAATGCCAGCCAGTTTATTCAGCACTCAGGATACTCTTTATATTAACTTGTTCTATGTAAGCTTTTTAAAAGATATTGCTTTATGATGCTACACCTAATTTCATAAAGTAAAAAAAAATATAACTGTATCATGAGTCTACTTAAGAGGAAGGTCTATTATTTATGTTTTAAGTTGTGACAGTACTAGGATGTTTGTGAGATTTAATTGTCCCCAAATTTGAGAGAGGAAGAAAGTGAAGTTTTACATCCTTATCAGAAAGAAATTTGGCTAGGATGCCAGGAATCTGAGTCAAAGATGAATGTCTTATTAGATATAGGGAAGGGAGGTAGGTCTTATAACTTTCATTCCAAAAGCTCTTGGTACTAAGCTTTTTGTAATGAGGATAATCACATCTTTTACAATAAAACAGCTTCAGGTTGAAGCTCAGATTAGTTTGGTAAATGATCCAATCAGACACACAGAAGACAAACATTCCCAAAGATACTTATTTAGAACATTCCTGTTAAGTATGCTATAGGTGGAAATAGCTTTTAACTGAATACTTCAAAAATAGCACACTGTGGGTTAAGCTACACATATATTCTTACAGCATGCTGTCAGCACGTTGCATTGAGATGCAGTAACTTACAGAGTAGGTGCAAGCAGTCATACTTTGACCAGGTAATTCCTTGTCAAGGGGCATGTTCTACACACTGCAGGATGTTCAGCAGCATTCCTTGCCTCTCAATTATTTAACACCCACAGACACTGACCAATATCTCCTCAGGGACAAAAATCACTTCCAACTGAGAACCACAAGCACAGAGAATAAAACTGATTACATGTTGCTTTGCTACTTTAGGACTTTGCAACATCCCGATGGCCTGGTATTATTTTATACTACTAGCGCTAGATAACATTGATGAGCCATCCAGGGCAGCTGAGAGTAAATGGCCACTTACTTTCTGCTTAAGAGTATAAACATGCATTACAAATACAACAAATTTAAGTTGAAGATTAGTTTACCTAAAACCCAAATGGGGAAAAAAGTTACACCTGGGCTACAGGGCTACGCTGTAACATAAGCTTAGGCTTTATACTGGGACTGCATGGTATGACATTTTCTGAGACTGAGTAATGAAGTTTTGTGATAAACTAGCATTGAATCTAGCCCAATACTGTGCTGGAATGCTAGCCAGATAAGGCTAAGACAAGAAACAGAAATTAGGTACAAAATTAGGAAGGGGCAGATGACTGCCCTTATTTGTGGCTAAGGTCAAGTCCAACAGAACTTATTGACAAACTATTTTAACCAGATAAAATAACTTCAAAAAGATTGTAAGGATCAAATGTAAAAAACAGTAACATTCCTTTATACAATACTAATTGAGAAAATGTAACAAGTCACAGTAAAAAGAATTACTTTAGATTTGAACTACTAAAAGATGCCTCAAGACTACTGAGCAAATTTTAAAGCACTGAAGACATTAAAGCACAATATTAAATGGAGACCATTTATAAGAAACCTTTCAAAGTTAACTCTCAATCTATAAACCAAAGCAATTCCAATTAAAGTCACAAAATTTTCATTGAACATGTCAAGTTGATTCTACAGTTTATAGGAAAGATGAGTTAAGAGTAGTTAAGGTAGTTTTTTTGGATTTCATCTTTTGGAGACAGGGTCTCACTGTGCAGTTCAGTCTGGCCTTCAACTCATTTTGTAGCCTAGGCTGACCTTAAGCTTTGCAGCAATCCTCCTGCTTCGGCCTCCCAAATACTGAGATTATAGGCACGTGCTACCATGCCCAGCAGGTAACTATGAAGAACATACAATTACTTTATCTGATACTTAGCCAGGTAGCAATGAGGACAACATTGTATTGGTTCAGTGACAAATGATTGATGAAGTAGCAAATGGGGCCTGGAAACTTAGGCATACTGGAACGCTGATGAATGACAAAGATGGCCACTGTGTGAGGTAAAGTCAGGCTGACAGCATGAGGTAACTCATTTTATGTTTTGGTTCTTGTAAATGAATGAGATAATTTTTAAAAGCCACTAATGGGGTGAGCAAATTGTTGAAAACTGCATTAGGGCTATAGACAGCATTCTGCTCTGGGCTGGAAGGTTTCTAACCACTTAGAGGGCAAGTTCAGGAGAAATTCTTACATAGGACACAACCAACACCACTGCAGATGACTCAGTACCTCTACTGCTCACAGCATCATAGGCTGGACAGTTGTTTTCAGAAATGGTAAAATGAAAGAATGTCCTCTTAGAGCCTATGGAATAAAATATTAGTAAAGAGGCCTTTTTGGGGACTGCTCATATCTTGTATTTATAGGGGAGAGATAGGGGTGGAAACAGCACACTTGCCTTCTGTCCTAAGACCCGCTTAGATCACGTGCCCCCATACATTCTCATTCTGGCTACAGAAGCACAACAACAGTTTATTTAGGCACAACTTTCTCTGTATCTATGATCCCTATCAACTACTTTTTTTTTTTTTTTTTTTTTTTTTTTTTGTGGAACCGGGGATTGAACTCAGGCCCCTGTGCACTTATTCTACTGAGCTATCTCCCCAACCCTATCAACTACTTTTGAAAGGAAAAAAAATCAGTTTGAAGTTGATATACACTTTTAAAAGTTAATGATAAAGATGCAAAGATGGTAACAAAACATCCTCACACAATGTCTAATTTTTAGTGATTTATTTCAATAGAAATATTTCAGAAAACTTCTTAAATTCATCTTAAGTTAGCTTATGCAAACACACTGATCACACACTCACATTTGCATATTAAAAAGAAAGTGAAGTTGCACATCACTTGGGAAGGTCATAGTGCAGCTGAACGCTTTATCCTTCGAATACCTCAAGTTGACTGGGATAAGGAATAAAAATGGCTTGTGTTCTCCTGTGCATTATCATGGGGTACTTTTACTATAGGTGTCTGATTTCCTTTAGCCCGTTTTGGAAACCAGCTTGCCAGTCTCTTCACGCACATATGTTTTGTAGGTTGTCAAACAATGTCAATAAAATATAGACTTGAGAGTTGGGTGACTTATCTACCTTACATCACACGTAATAATAATTACTGAATTATATTTGTGGTAGTTCTAGTTGGTATCTTCAGGGAAAACAGCATTTTGTTACCTGGTTTCTAAAGTGTAACTAGTATTTATAGTTTTTTTAAGGAAAACAATTCCACCCTAACACACACTGATTACATTATTTTTTAAATCCCACCACTGCTTTGAAGTTCAAGACTACAATAAAAAATTTGAATTCTGCTAATAACCCTCAAGGACCAGTTAACCCTTTCATTTGGGTTTAAAGACTATCTAAGCCTACTTCGGGACATACTAGCCCTTTAAAAAATGTGAAAATAGTGTGTTGACACAGATAAATAATAGTAGCTCTAGGTCTTCCAAAATCTCAGAGAAGCAAAGTATTTTTAAGCTTTTTTTTCTCTGAGAAAGTGAGTGTAGCCTCTTAAATTCCCTTCAATTTGTATACTGATTTACCTTCTTGCATAATATTTTCAGGCAAATAGTATCTTGCAGGTTAAGTGCTCATTCAGTTTGGGTCTTATTGAAGTGTAAGAATGAACAGAAATACATTTCACTTCTGCCTAAAGGGGTTGTCATTACAAGATTTCAATATTTTACAAAAACTCAAATATTTCTGAATGCATCTTATTTTTTAGGGACTTTTCAAAGAGCACTTATCATTAAATCTGTTCTCAAGACAACAAAATAGTTGTGTTTAAAGGTTTATTGAAAGGTTGGTTTGAGCGGATTTATTTTTAATCTCCTACCTGGAAGGGAGAGACACCAGAACAGAACTTGCATAAAAAAAGACTCAAAACTCAAGGATGACTGCAGCAAGTACTTGGCAGTATCTGTACAGACTTCCTAAGTCTTGCTGTAAGATTAAGCTGGTGGAGAAAGGGATAGATAGCACACTCCTGAAGGAAGAGGGCAAATGATTATTGTCATGCTCAATGCCCAAAAATTGGTCTTCATTGGTAAGGCACTAACCAAACGTTCCCCACACTGCAACCTGAAATACAGATGCGGTGAAACTGTTTTCGGTAGACTTCATAAAAGTCTGTATGCACACACTCTTTGATTACAACCCTTTAAATAGGAAAACGTCATTTTAGACACAAGCCATTTTTAGGGAGCAAACCCAAAAGGTAATTTAAATCATTTTGAAAAGGTTCACATGGAAACTAATTTATCAACAATGTGATTTAATAGGAATTTTTGTATGTCAAAGCCTTAGAGAAAACAATACCACTGTGGCTAGAAAATCAAGAATTTACTAAGTTTGAAAAAAGAATACAGAAGAGGCGTAAAAAAGCAAATCCTAAAACATCACTAAAAGAAGTCAGACAAACCTCATCACTTGCTCTGTATGACTGGTTCATGCAACAGTAGCATTAATGTTTCACCATGAAACAGCTGAATTTATCTCCATTTTCAAAAAGGGATCCAATTATGTCAAAAGCCTCTGAGGCAAAGGATTTCTTTAGATTATCTTGCCACCCTGCCACCCTTTATCTACAGAATATGGCAGCTCAAAAAAGGCTGTAAAGAAATGTGCCTCAAAAAACAAAGAACAAAGCAAAGCAAACAAAAAATTCTCTTAAAAAGCCAATGGACTAAAGTAGTATTCACTTCTATTAATGACGATTATTTTCAGTAAGAAAATGTATGTTCTCTTGCAGATTTAAACTTAGGAAAAAATTACGTAGAAGGCATTTGGTCAGGTAAATTCTAATAATTTAGAAAGAGAGGCTGTGAGGGCCCCATTTCAACTACAGATATGCTAGAAACTATAAACATTTTTCCATTCTTTTTTCCTTCTATAACAATAATGCTTCATGGGTTCCTTTGTAAATTTCTCACAAGAGGGAAAGAGCCATTTACAAAAGCTTTGTAAGAACAATACCTTAACTTTTGACACACAGAAAGACCCAATGCCAACACAGCCCATACAGACAGTCGTGCAACAGTTATATGGCATTTTCCACACAGGAAAAAATATTTATCACTGGCTCACATGCCTAGGTGGGCAGAAAGAAAAAAAAAAAAACAAACTCAACACACTCAAACTCATTGTTTGGATCCCCTTTTGTAATGTTTATACAAATAATATTTACACAGTGAAGAAAACAAAATAGGAAGGTGAGTTTGATCAGTTCTCTTTCAGTTCTTACAGTTGAGAGGTAAAAATAATACTCTAAAGAACAAGCAGAGCTTGAACAATAAGGGGACAGATACATAAACAAAACAGTGCTCAGGAACGTCATTATGTAGTTATTTTTATGGTTTTAAACAAATTTTTAAATAGGGTTGCCTCAAATTGTATTTTGGCAGATTATATATTACTACACCAGGACATAAAATATGCCAATCATTATGTTTATAAACCAGCTTAATTTAAATTTTAATTGAGATTCTAATGAGTTCTTGACTAGGGCAGAAACAAGTGAGCTTAACACTGATGGAAATATTTAGCATTTAAGTCACTAATTAACAATTGAGGCCAGTAAAAAGATTTATCCTCTCACTAATAAACTAATACAGCTTGGTGACTTATTTGCTTGAATTCTAATCATATTTTGTGAATTATGGATCAAAACTCACCTGTACTTCCAATTCTTTTAAAATTTGCTTCAAAGAAGAATACTAAATAGCAATGTCTGATTTTTTGAATGGAATGATGAAGACAGAAAAATAATAGTGATTTCTACTGCACTATTAGGTTGTTTCGGTCAGCTGAAGGCCACTGAACTGTTAACTGAACTTCAACACTCTGCAAGCACCCACTGTTTGGAGCTCAAAATATCAAGCACACCTTCAATCTTAGGGCTCTCTTTGGCGAAACTGCGTGATGTCAGTCTCTGACTTCCAGTTTCATATTTCCACAGATATGGTTAACCTAAGACGTATCTACTTTAGCTTATTATAACAAACAAAACAATAACAAAATCCACAGGGTTCTTATTCACAATTTTGTTTTCTAAAAAAAGCAACACACAAGTTATTTCTAGAGACCAATTAAGGAAATTTAAAACAAAACAAAACATGTACAAGGTCTCTACAATAATACTGCTGGCTATGCAGATGATGTCTTTCTATGCACCCAACATGGGTTAAGCTTAGATTAACTGAAAAAAAAATCATTCAGTACAGGCAACATTTTTTCCTCTTCAGCCTGTCACTAAAACCTAGAAACAACATTGCTATGATATGACAAATATATTGAACTCTGAACATTTTCCCAAACAGAAAACTAAATTTTCAAATATAACAGGCAGAAAAAGCTCTTACTTTCCTTTGGATACATGTTTAGCTAAAGCACTAAACATGTATTTTCTTTTAATGGACTTGAGGGCAAAATACAATACAGTATACAATTCTCTTAAGGATTTATATGTGAGAAGTTTTACATGACACCCAAAGTTGGTGATGCCTCACAAGGATATAATACCTAATGTGGGATCTCTGTTCAAATGCTATTTTTTGTTGTTATAAAATTCTAAGGTATCTCACCTTTTTCATTTTTCTATCCAACATTTTACAAATTAAATGTATTATTGAACAGAATTCTGTAAGACAGCTTAGTCAACTACTGCCAAAATATGATTTCATATAAGGGAACTATTAGTAGGTTTAAAAGAAAAATGCTTTGGTATGCTCATGGTGAGTCACGTAATAAGAGGCTTGACACTTAAAATTTCCAGAACCTCCAACTTTTGCCTTTATCCCTCTTAAAATTGTCTTACAATAAAACATAAATAAGCAATCTTTTAAACAAATACAACCTTAAATCTCATATTGAACAAAAACAAGTGAATAATAACAAACTGGCATTATGCACATAGAACACTGTAAATGAAAATATCCTGGCAAAATATCAATATTGTCACCCTCACTGATAAAAACCACCTGTGACTGAGAGAAGGGATAACCCAATCAAGTCAGGAGGGAAAAGGCTGGTTATAAAAATCATCTCAGGAAAGTTTAGCTTGGGATTCAGTTCTCTATTAAGCAGAGCTGTGGTCCAACAATGAATTCATGTAAAGCTAAGCTTTAACCCCAGTTAGAAACAACCATGTTCTTTGGAGCCTACTTTTTAAAAAACTGCCTGGCACAGGAACATAGCCCTTGTGCCTCCTGCAGGAAATAAGGTTTCCCACACAGCACTAAATTTAGAAGTATAGTGTTTAGAAGATGTTTACTTATCTAAACAAAAACAACACCTCCCACCTCATCCCCCACCAACTAACATAATTAACATTTCTAATGCCTACACTTTTCATGTTAGAAAGTGAGTGAGGACACACTGGTGGAGGCAGAACAAACCTTGCAGATGGGCTGCTGGCATAATCCCTAAATTAAAGTACCTGTTCTCTGCAGTTCAAAGCCAGGTCCTGATGTAATCCATAAGAAATACGTTTTTCTTTTTTAAACTGTATCTAAAAAAGATGATTCCCCCCTCTGAAATTAGTACAAAGGTAAAAGAAATGCAAATTAGCTACGATCTATTTCAAGCACAGCACCGCCAGAAGATTCACACACACTATTTGGTGTTTCATGTTGGTTTTCCTTTCATTCTTTTAAGGCAGTGGTTTCCACAGGTCAGTTCAGAGATAAGAACCATGGTTCATGGCAGTTTATTTTGTAACTCCAATTTGTTCTCTGGGAATATCTCACTTCATTTCTTGAAGTGAGTGCTTTTTGGTTCACAACTCAAAGGCCGAGATGGTGCCTTGGGCTCTTCTGGCACGGATGGTCTGCAGCTGGCGTTCTCCTCAGGTCCCCCTCTCGCACAGGAGCAGAGATTCAGCTCAGCTTCCTCAGGTTTCTACTCAAAAGTCATCAAGTTTGCAGGAACCTAAAAATTACAAGTGTTACAAAATGTTTGCAAGCCGTTTTTCTTTTTCTTTTCTTGCTTTGTATGTTTTATTTTATTATTTATTTTATTTTATTCCATAATTTTATTGAGAGACAAATAACAAGACAGTTTTGAATCAAATTGGTGTAAGTTTCAATAATTAACACATTGCATACTCTCTTCTTCTACTCTGTTAACTCAGCAAAATATTCTAAAAGAGTTCAGTAGTC